GACTGCCACCTCTACTGTAGTAACCTGTACTTCTTTCTCTTATATTATGTGTTACAGCTATTGCCGTCAAATACATCACGAAACGATTCATTGGAGAATACGATTCAGGTTTAGGTGAGTCTGTTCTTCATCTGCTTCGTTGAGGCTACTTATTGTGGTTTCTAGAACGCTTACGTAAGTAGCTGGTTAGACGCCACAGCACTGATGCATTAAAGGGGCAGGGGAGGAAGGGGAGGGGGTTCACACCTGTCAGAGCTTGTCAGCGTACAGTCCACCTGTAAACATGTGAATAACAGACGAACCTCGTCAATTACCTGTAAGCCTTGTTATCAACTGTCAAGCACACTGTAAACTCCTCTCTACTTTGTCAGAATTGACAGGTCAAGATTTACAAAAAGATGGAGAAGCCGCGTTCCAATGACGCTAGCAGCAGGCGCAGTTCGGCGACGGGGTGGGGGCTCTTCTCGAGTTGACAGGTTTTAACATGATGGCTTGACGACCTTGCTCCAGCTTCACAAGAGTTCACAGGTTTCACCAGAGTGAGACTTGTAAACCGGAACTAAGGAAGCAGTGATAGTACAACCCCCCCCCCCCTACCACCTCGAGACCGAACTGAACCCTAGCACTATTTCGCCAGGCTTGACATTAGTTTACAGGACACTTTACATGAATCAACACAACTGCGGGATGAGAAACGGTTGAATGAAAAGACAAAAGAAAAAGCAAAGGGAAAGGCTCAGAAAGCATACAGGTGCCTCCCCCCTCCCCTAAGGTCATCAGCATCGACGTCACTTTTTACTACAGTTGTTTATTGTTTTATTCGGTTGACGTGACAGAGCACATTCAACAATAAAACTTACAACGCAAATAAAACTAAAACCAGGTAATGCAACAGAACACAACATCATTTGTATAATCCTCTGTATAGGCAAAAATTACAATTATCCTTCTATGATACGCAAAATTACAATAAGTTAATGTATGAGGATAGAGTAAGCTCCGATTCGCGCTTTACGTCTGCCCTTTAGCAGTGGATCCAGTGGACGGTTATTGTGATGATTTATACTTCGTTTTATAGAAAGACACCTACTGCCGTCAAGATAATGTAGCCGGGCAACCACTGATGGTGTGGGTGATGGATACGGTCGACGACCCTTCACGGGATGAAATGCGATGGTTGGCATGGGCGGATGTGTATCTAGTGGTATATGACGTAACAAGTCAGCTCAGCTTACAGTGAGCGTACAGTGTTGATATACTACAGTTTCTGGCTTACTTTGTGTCACAGATCTCCATTTTCCGAGGATTGCTTTTGTCATTCCCTTTTTATTGGGAGGAATTTTGACGATTCGGTTTCGAATATTTCAGGTATGCGGAGAATATTTCTGGAGCGTATCGCTACGCATGAGCATTTACTGTGTGCCAGAGAACACAAAACACTTTTACTGGGAAACAAAAATGACCTGGAACGATATAGGTACGTTTTACTTGTCCGTGGCTGTCCCACATTATTGTTCGTGGCCAGCCACATTTCTCATATATTTCGCAAAAGCAGGGTGTAGGCTTTTCGAAGGAGCTGTTCTCAGTTTCAAGGTCCACTTTGTGAGCTCGGATTGATTTGGGATCATTCCGCTCCCAGATCAATCCAAGCTCACAAAAACCTATAATCGTTCGTTTAATCATAGACTTGTCTGGAGGAAAAGATGGAGCTCTTGTTTGTGCGCTAACGCTCGCAACTTATGGTGTTGTATCAACTAGGGATGGATGGTTGGAGTTGGGCAAGCATGGAGGATTTACTACTTTTTCGTGGCTCGAAAGTACGTGAAGAAAACACGACCGCGATAGGAGCAATACCTTAGCCTCGAACCACCATAACGCCCAGCATTCATTTCTGAGAGCTCATTTTGGTGGATTTTTGCACCGTACCAAGCTCTCCGTTTTTGAATAAGAGTGAGGGATCAGGGGAAACAGCTGATACCTTTAAATGAGAAATAATCCGACCGCGCCCTTTCTTCGCCTTGCTGTTCAGCATGGGATTCTGGTATGGGGCCTTTGAGGCAAATTTTCCGTTTTTTTGCTCATTTTTGATTTTAATGACCATCTTGTTCATTAGTTATTTTGAGCCGCACAACTGACCATTTTTGAGCGCGGGCTTTCCTATGAATAGTTTTTTTGAGTTTTTGATATTCAGGCAAGTATCTGAGACGGAAGGAGAGGCGATGGCTAACAAGTATAAAATACATTTTGCGGAATCATCAGCCGCTGGAGACTCACGTATCTTGTCACAACTACTTCACCACTTAAACTTTTTTTTCCAGGTGCAGCTAACTTAAAATTGTTATGCTGGCTTTACATTTCGCGTGCCAAACAATGGAACTTTTTCAACTGGCGAAGCCACCCGCCCTATACGCGGGATCGGGGTCGACTGCCATGTTCTTCAGTGGGCGCGTTCTTGTTTTGTACAGCCTTGCTTGGAAAAGCTTTAGAAAAAATCGGGGAAAAGGACGTACAGTCGTCATCCGGGCACTTGATTAGGGCGGCAGGGGTCGCAAAGCGTGTCACGAGCTCGACGATCAGCTGTTTCCAGCCTATTTTAGCCATTTTCCCTCTAGTTTACGCTGTTTTGGCTGCTTTTCTCACGATTATTTTCTATTTTTTTGGAGGTTAGTTGTTTTATCGTCTTTATGAATTATATTAGGACGAGAGGAGTGTTTTTTTTTTGTTATTTGCTATAGAGTGTTTTGTGATTTTTTCCGGTATTTGTTCAATTGCCTGCTTAACTGTTCAATTGTACGCAAAAACCAGAAGAATCTCAATTATAATTTACCTTGTGAAGACAAGAACAATACATCGTGAGAAAAGCAGCCAAAACAGCATGCGCTAGGGAGAAAAAGGCTGAAGTAGGCTGGAACCAACTGATCGCCGCGCTCGCAACCCACCGCAGCCGGCGTCGCGTCCCTTGCGCGCCCTCAATCACTCCCGGGATAAGACTGTACTCATACTTGAATTGAAGCCATTATGGTAGTAGCTGAAAATCCTCATAATTGACGGCACTATCGTGGGCCAAGAAAGAAAGCGTCGTGGTCTGCTTGGGGGGTGGTGAAACAGAACATGGTTGAAAAAGTGAAGGAATATTTGCAGCATGTGCTGACGGGAGCAAGAAGTCCATCGCCTCGCCTGTACTCGTCAGACTCAGGGATTGTCTCGCCTAGTAAGTCTACCCTATCCCACGTTTATGTGAGGCTGCGTCCATACTTTGCGGCAGCATCCACCACCATACAGCGGCGTTTTCGCAGGCACAGTTTGAGCAGAACTGCCCGCGAAAACGCTCGTGGGCGCTTGTGGACGCTGGCGTTCGCAGATCGATACCTATACTTCCCTTGTCCCTCGAGACGCTGGCGTACGCTGGTGGACGCTGGTGGACGCTGGCGTTCGCTAGATCGATATCCATACTTTCCTAGTCGCTGCGCTGGCGTTCGCTCGAAACGCTGCCGTACGCTGGTGGACGCTGCCGCAATGTATGAACGTATCACACCATATTTTTTAATGGAGTGTTGGACATTCATGTTGCGTTTCCGTTTTACAGGTTTCATGGGTAAATCGACTTTCTCAACAATTCGCTCGAATAGTCGAGCCGGTCAAGTGCGATCTAAAGTTACGAAGCCGGTATCATTACACAAGACACCGAGTTTGAGCAAGATCAAGACGGGCAGCAAGTTGCTGAAATTGTTTCATAACTGAGATGATTTGCCATCTAGATTCTCTTCTGTTTACCTTCCTACTATGATTCGTGAGAGCTGTGGTAATTTGGTAATTTCCATGGAAAAGTAATTTCATTTTTGTCTATCTTTAGCTTTTATTAGTCCTTTAAGTAGTAGTGAACGCAGGTGCGACTGGGCGCGTTTGTTTACGGCTTATCGTCGAGATAGGGATCCTGCCATGCTTTAGGTGACCCGGACCTCGAGAGCACAGACGGCCATAGTAGGCGCGGTTCAAGTTTCACCTCCTTTTCCCCTCTCGGCTGCGCTGTTTTTTTTTATTGTATTGTTATTAAGTCGTGATCAGTCGAATGTATCTGAGAGGCCATCATAGCAGACCTCGCTGCGTACTTCAACTAGACGTGGCTGTGGCTGTGAGGAGACGGGCAGAAGAAATAAAATTGCCACTGTCGCGGGCGGCAGTTGGAGCGACATTTCCTTAATTTGCACTGCCTGTTCAATTGAAGCATCGGAGTTCATGACAGGCATGTTTACATAGTAGATATCTATGTCTATTCTTTTTTATTCATTGTCTATTCTCGACCAATACCACCTGAAATCTTCATCATTAGCGGGCGCGACGTCTGCATCGCGATACGGCAGCTGCGCGAATGTAGCGATTCTCATCGACACATACCCGTGGCTGGCTGTTGTAAATATTTTCATTTTGAGACAACTGTGGTCGCTGTCTCTTGCCAACACAGAACAAGATAAAACAGTTGTCTCAAAGCTGAAAATTCCCACGTAACCCATTATGTACCACGTACAAATGCCACGCCCAATCGGCCTTAGGGATAAGAAGTGTAGATGTTTTCTCGCATAGTTGATGTTTAATTCCATGCCAGAATTGTGAAACCATTGAATGTATACTTAATTCTTTTGCTCTTTCAACTGTTTGTAGGAAGTTGTGGATAGGTTTGTTGATATAAGATTGTTAAAGTGTATTTGGAGATTGTAATATTGCTAAAATTGTCTAAATGAAGTGTTTGATGATATTTTGTGAGTGCTGAGCCACCGGAATCGGTCATCACCAATGCTGTGGCATTCTGTGATGGTCTGGAAGTTCATTGAAGTTTCTTGAAAGTTTACTTCAAAGAGCTCGATGTTACTTCGCCCATGTTCGGCATTCATTCGTTGTGCCGCCCCTGAGCAAGCACAGAGAATGTTTTCGCATTCAAATCCTGGTAAGGACGCCACCCGATCGCGAGGAAGGCAATGCCCCGCCCAACGTCTCGTATCACGCCCAGGATCATTTCTTAAAGCTTACTGGTTGTTCATTAACTCCAGTGGCGTCCCGGGGGCGAAGGGAGAAGAGCTGATATCATTAGGAAACCTCCAGGTTGCTAAAAGACTGTTTTCCGCCCCTATACTAGTACAGGTATGGATCAGCTCGTTCTTCTAGGATCTCAATGGAAAAGAACAGTCATGGTCGCCATCAACAGGTCCCACGAATACACCATAGAACTGGCCAAAGTAAACACCTATAAGAATAGCAATACAAAAAAACAGCGGCAGCCGAAGGATAAAGGAGATGAAACTTGAACGCGCCCTACTATGCGTCTGTGGGCTTCGCCAGGTCCGGGCCTCACCTTAAAGCATGGCAGGATCCCTAATCTCTCATGATAGGCAGTAACAAACGCGCCCCAAGGCGATCCTGCGTTTCAATTACTACTTAAAGGACTAATAAAAGCTAAAGATAGACAAAAATAAAATTACTTTTCCATGGAAATTACCAAATTACCACAGCTCTCACGAATCATAGTAGGAAGGTAAACAGAAGGAGAATCTAGATGGCAAATCATCTCAGTTATGAAACAATTTCAGCAACTTGCTGCCCGTCTTGATCTTGCTCAAACTCGGTGTCTTGTGTAATGATACCGGCTTCGTAACTTTAGATCGCACTTGACCGGCTCGACTATTCGAGCGAATTGTTGAGAAAGTCGATTTACCCATGAAACCTGTAAAAACGTAAAACGCGAACACCATCCCCACCCAAAGTAAATTCTGGGAATACGGGAACTCTTCCTCGATACACGTCTTCCCCTCAATGTGAACTCCGTAACGATATGTTTGCTAGTCCCTGAAATGCAAAAGTTGGGTAACTTAGCATTTACTGAGGACAAAGAAGGGAAAATTTTCTCAGTTCAGCTGCAAGGCATGCATCGAAGCGCTAGTTCAATGGCTCCACCTTGTAGCTGAATATGCACCATTTCCTCGCGATTGTTCGATGTCATACTTTCATTGTTTGTTTTGTAGCAGGGCTGACAAATAGATGCTTTCGAAGAAAAGAACGGCGAACAGCACGAAATTGGACGAACTGTTGAAAGCGGGAGCCAGTGGGAGTGAGTATTCCTATTCTTTGCAAATTCGTTCACAAAAATGGCAAGGTTTACGATAGTCGATGTACCGCACGGATTCATTTAGATCTGCTGGTGAGATGCCAAGCAATGGCGTGTTTGCCAACACGATGTTTGCCATCGGGGTGCAGCATCGTTGTGTGAACCATAGGGAGAGGGGTCGTACTCGGCCGCTGTGGAGGGGGTCGGCCGCTTTGGAGGGGGGTGTCGTACTTGGTCGTTGTTGGGGGATAGGGGGAGGTCGTATGTGCCCTTGAGCCTGAAGGAGACTTGCCCGCGTTGGGAAAATTTTTTTCCTGGTTGTTGAAAAATTTTTTCTCGTTTCACATTGGCTATCCCCCTCTCCCAGCCTCGCTCGACGAAATTTCGGAAAAACTGGTAGGAAGCGGGGAACTTGTAGGAAAGTAGTAGGTAGGTGTAGGTAGGTGTTGGGGAAGGGAGGGGAGTCGTTTAGAGACCCTCCCTCGAGGAGGGGGTGGAGGTGGGAGCACTGACACCACCATTTCACACATCACGATGCTGTACCCTGTTTGCCACTCGATTTATAGAGCGCCGACCAGGAGCTTCATGTTGCGACAGACACCGCAAGCAACGCAGCAAGCGCATCACGGTTCGCAGAATGAGTTGAGTGTTGAGTGCCGCTGCGGTGACCAGAGAAACGAACCTTCTGACCTCTTACAGTAATCGCAGCATATCGACATTACGCTTTTAGTAGAAGGATTCCTTTACCCATTGTTGTAGTGGTCGTACTGCGTATCAAGTCCGGTTAACCCGAACGATCTATCTCGAAAGGAGACTATGACCTCAGCTTCTGATGGTGGGAAGATTTCCTTGCAGTATGATGGACTATTTCTTTCCATGCATTATTTCTGCAACCATGGCTTATTCAGGATACATTCCCTTTGGTTTCGAAGAGTTAAAGGATTCATTGTTTCCGGAAGTGTCGCCCCATACATTATGTTCTGAGCTTGATGTCTTATATAGAACGACTGCTAGACATTATTGATG